ATGAATATGGTTACACCTTGTTGACAATCATTGGTAATTTTGGTAGACCATGGGACTTCTAGGAATCATGGTAGGCATTATGATGGCATGAGACCACTTCAAGCAGGAGATGACCTCGTTTTATAGCAGAATTGGATAATAGGGACATACTCACTCTTCAGACTTGTGCTTAGTAGGTGTGATACACCTTATTAGGTACCATAGTGGGTAGGCATGATACACTTCTTGTGGTATCACATGACTGGGTCTATTTGATCTTCTTGCAGAGGTCTCTTTATCATGTCTAGCCAAAGTGGGGTCACCTTGAGAGGGCTAAACTAAAAAACTTTGATGATCTCTCAACTCTAGTCGTCAATCATGTCCCTAGATAGAAATTATAAGTTATTAATTGTTTTCCTACATATATCTATGTGTGTGTGTATAAAAATAATTAGTTCAAATTTGGTTAGGTCACAACAACTTTTAGTCCTCTTGACATAGCAACTCAACATCTAGTCCTCATCATCAATACAAGATGTCTCTCTTACTCAAGTAACCACTAATAGCTAATCATATATATGACATTACTTCTAGCTTTCTTTTAGAATAGCATGCAAAACTTGTCTTAGAATTGTAGAATGATAAGAAAGTGTTCCAAAATATATCTTCCTATTTGGATGGCAAATTTTAGTTAGCAGTAAGTTTTGGATTAATGCTCTATTTGATCCTGTTTTGGGGCAGCTAAAACAATTGTAATCGAGTTGCAAATCTGTTTACAAAGACTTTTGTATAAATAGGGTCCAAGCAAAATAGAAAAAGGAAAAAATTGTAATCAGTACTCTTTAAGAAAGTGTAATTCTAGAAAATTTCTTCTCATTTTTGTTTTCTCTTGTGAGAAACTATGTGAGCTCTTCTTTCTTGGTTAAGGCTTGTAACAATTATAAATAAAGACATTTTGAACTTATAAAGGTACATGAATGTCATTAAACCTTGGCATTTTCATTTCTAACTTATAGAAAGAAGGCAAAAGTAGTGAAAGGGATCTTGATATTGGTAATGGGCATGGTTGTGATTGTTGTTGATTGGTGCCTTTGGTTGTCGTAATTTTTTAAGCTATTGTTTGATACGATCTAAAGACTTACGGCTGTTGTTTTCATATAATTTGTTATAATGTGGTGGACCAATTAAGTAATTAAATCATGGTAAATTGATTCCCAAAATATTTTTTTTTTCCTTTCACTAAAATATATATGTGTATCCAAAATATATAAAAGTAGACAAGTAGCATGTGGCTTGCTTATCTACTAGAGAAATACATATCACTTTCAATTGTGATCATTAGCACTTTGCACTAGTTTTTTTTTTTAATTTTAAAAACTATTATTTATTAATTGTAAATACATATTTACTTAAGTAGTTAAATTTTGATTTATAGGTTGGAGATATAGTTGTTCTAAAAAGTATCATTAGGCCAACAGAAACAGTTGCAATTGAAGTACTTGAAAATACAGATCCATCTAAAGAAGTAGAAGGAAAAGAAGTAGGACTTGACTATTGAGAGATACATGTTCAAGTGTCAGTCAAACCTAATGAGAGCTTGATCAAAACATATGGACTTGTCAAAACAATTGGACAAGCTATTGGAGCTCATGTTGCTTGGTCTGCTCTATTTGTGGTATATTTCTTCCATAAATTCTAATTTCATTAACAATTTTATATTAACTCAATATAGTTTCTAATACTTTTGTATGTTTATCTTTAGATGCAATTTCGTAAGTTATGGATGCTAGTCAAGAATACTTATACAAGCGAGGTTGAGAATTTGGAGACTGAATTTGTTTTGGTAATTTGTCTCTATAAAAGATGGATATAACTATGGTTTTCGAGAACTTATATTGGAATTTTTATTTATTTATTTATTTTTAAGCTTTAACTTTGTTAGTATGGTAGAATTTTTTTTAATTTTCATTATGATTTTTGTTGTAATATAAATAAATTTATATCTTTAGATCAAAAAATAATTGTGGTTTGAATTTTCTTTGTTTTTAATGTGATGATCCTATGGTGGTAATATTTGTTTATTACTATGGAAATATTACAGGATGAATGGATGTCAAATTAATATAGGATGTCAAATTAATATTTAATTTTTTATAAAATAAAGGATAATTTTTATAGGTATTTACGCATACTTAGTTGTGGCTTTTAAAAGTGTCGTTAAAAAGAATATATAAGTGGCATCTCATAGTAGTGGTAGTAGCTTTGCAAAGTGTCACTAGAATAAGCTCCAATGGCACTTATATACATTTATAGCACAAATGAATTGGATTTAGTGGTATTTATAAAGTTGTTAAAAATATCAATCGTGGCATAACAAGCGCCATTAAAAAAAGCATATAATGGCATTTTTTAGATTATAAGTTTTTTTTAATGGCACTTGGTAGCGTCACGAATAGTGTCTACCATAACATCAAATTGTCATTGAAAGTCTTTAGTCTTAATGGTGTAATGGCACTTACAAGTGTCACTAAGTCCTTTTTTGATGGCACTTGGTAGTGTCACGAATAGTGCCTATTATGACATCAAAGTGTCATTAAAAGTCTTTAGCCATGATGGTGTAATAACACTTGCAAGTGTCACTGAGGTGCCACTAGAATCTACCGTGATATAGGTATAAATAGCACTTTTTCAAAATGGCACAAGACTAAAAAATGTCACTAAAGAAATAGTTTTATGACACTTTTAAATGTCACTAAACTAAGAAAATATTGTAGTGTGAACCGCACAACTAACTACTTTGCTTAAAGGCATAACAACAAAGGATCATAACCCAAAAATAAAATAAAATTAATAAAAAACAACACAAACAAAAACAAAAACAAAAAAAAAATGTTCCAAACTATCCATTAAACATGAGAAGCTATTTCAAAATCTCCTCAAAATAGACAAAAAAATGTTGAAATTCACTGTTTTTGCCAATAGTACATAGATTTGCTTCTGGAGCCAGATATAATTCCTCCACTGAAGTGAGTTCTGTCACTATGGCAAAGTGCAAAATTGGCTACAGCATCCCCAATGGTGCATCCTTTGGCATTGTCAAAGCCAAAATTTGACTAGATACAATATCAAAATGTCAAATTATAACAATGTTGTCACAGTAATAGTAGTCTCATTCCTCATCTCTCTTGGACCTACACCCGATTTCATGCAAATATCCCTTTGGAAGATGGTAGTTTCATTGCAAAAATAATCACAGATCTCATGCGAAGATAGAGGTCACCGGTCTTATGTGAAATGGACGGCCATAGATCATGGGTGCAACCTCCCCTTTTCCTTTTTTTTTATTTTTCCCCTTATATATATATATATATATTATGCAAGTACTTATGTAATATTTTATAATTTCATTCATGCATTTTAGGTTAATTTTTGATATTTTTGTGATATTTATTGTGCTAAATTTGTGTACTTGGTTATAAAATCAGTAAAAATGATTTGTGTGATACTTTTTTGTGTTAAAATTAACTTTATTTTGTTGGTAGAGTTATGGATTGTGAAGTTGTGGATTGTGAAATCCAGTTCTTGGTTGTGAAATCAGGAGAATACAGTGAGTGAGGGTTTTTTTTTAGGGAAATGTTAGGTTTTATGAAGAATTTTCATGAAAACTGTCATGAAAATTATCTGCACCGTTATATCAGGTATGTGTCTCATGATCCAACGGTGCAGATGGTTTTCATGACAGTTTTCATGAAACGTAGCAGGACCCTTGTTTTTAACGAAGGAAGTGGAATAGTTGAACTTTGTTTAATAGCTAAAGGTGTTTGGAATGATTTAAATAAGTATATTTTTAATTTTATATAAAAAATAAATTAAAAAAATAAAGATCCGATATAACTCAATAAAATAAAATACGCTTTTTTAATACATTTCAAGCACTAAGGGTGTGTTTAGTTTATGTTTTGAGATAAATTTTCAAAAAAAATTTGGGGAGAGAGTTTAGAAAAAAAATTTGGTTCGTTTGGTTGTATGTTTTGAAAATAATTTGAAAGTTTTGAATGATTTGATATTTTCTTATAGTTAAATAGATATATATGAAAAAAAAAATGATTGAAAAAAAAAAAAGAGAAAAAAGTAATTGATTAATCTATAGGAGAGAAAAAGTGATTTTGAAAAAAAAAATTCAAAAATTATATCTTGAGATACAAATCAAATAAACCCTAAATTTCTCACAAACTTTGCCATTATCACATACTTTGACAACCATTGGAGACATTTTTCCTTTTTTTTTTTTTTTTTTTGATTGCAAGGCACTGGCAGGTGTGTTAATTTATTTGTTCTGAAGATTTAATTTGTTTGGTGCAGTTTTAAAATTATGATTTAAGTATGAAAAATTTAATTGATTATGAGTTTTGAAAAAAAATTTGAATCAAATTTGAAATTTTTAATGTGACATATGATATTTGATTCAAAAACTTACCATTCATAACCAAACACATGATCTAAAATTCTATTCAAAATTCATAAAAAAATTTAAAAAAATATAAAAATTACAAATGTTAAAAAAAAAATACTATTCCGGTCAACTGACCAGATGTGCAATAATTGGGCAAACATATTTATCAAAGTAAATATAAAATCAATTTTAAAAAATTATAACCAAACATTACACTAAAATTAAAGAGTGAAATTAAAATTAAAAACCTCTCAGCAATAATTGCTCCAGCTAATACTAACAGGACAAAGTGGGATTTTAGAGAGAGAGAGAGAGAGAGAGAGAGAGAGATGTTAAGGTGGGACTTTGAGCTGTGCAATGCAATGGTGGGGTTGGTGGCCGCTTGGCTGGCACTGTCTCCCTATTTATATAGGGGAGGATGAAACCACTCAACACCATAGACTTGCCAGATTATTGGACCCTACTACCCATACCATCGTCGTCCTCTTCCTCTTAAAAAGCAAACCTTTTCGAAATAAATAAATAAATAAATTAAGACATTATTTGTTTCACAGGTTTAGAAAAAAAATTTAAAAAGAGAAAAAGACAAGTACATAAAATATAGTTATATTTTAATTACATTTCAACCCAAATCTTCAATCAATCCAAAACCCACTATACACTCCCAGGCCAGCAAGTTTTAACCTTCCAACAAAAATAACAATTTAAGACGGAAGAAACCAAAAACTCAAAAAAACCCAGTCAATAGCATACATACAACTTACAAGGTCAGCTCCTCCTCATCACTGGCTCATTTTTTTTATTTTTTTTTTTTCTTTTTTTCTTCTACCTCTCTCTTTTTATCATAAACCTCCAAATTTCTCAACCACTCCGTACAGACAATCAAAACAATTCCTATATTACAATCAATGATCATAAAACACTGTAGTATAATTATAAAACCTAATCTCATGTGAATACCTCTCTAACTAAGGACTCAAAATAGAAGCTTCTTGCCTTTGTTCTCTCAAATAACTTAGTAGTGTTTCAGCCTGCAAAACCAACCAATTAGGCATTAAAATTCATGCTGCCCGTCAAACATCATCACAAGGAAATTATAGGTAATTTTTACGGAAAATGTTTGGTGATCTGAATTTTTATGACTCGAATGGTTCAAATGTGTCAATACTATGTCTTTTTTTTGAGTGTTTCAAGCTATTTAAATCATGATTTTTCGGACTAGCTAACATTGTTAAATTTTTATACATATAGTTAACCAATAGATATGAACATAGATGGCCAGAGTCTTTATTGTTCATGCACGGACGAGCTCCATAACGTCTGCTTGGAAGTCTTATTAGACAATGGAGGATGTGAAAAATATAAAAATTCTAATTTAACGTTAAAATAAATGATATAAAATTAAACTTTTTATTAAATTTTTACTCAAAATTAATAATTTTTTTTATTCAACGTTGGAGATACGGTAACCCCAAAAAAAAATACAAAAATAAATAAAATAATAATAAGAAAAAAAATAGTGTGAAATTTCACTAAACTGACCTTGTGCTTGGCTTTTGCAGTACCAGTTAAAATACAAAAAAAAAATAAAATAATAATAAGAAAAAAAATAGTGTGAAATTTCACTAAACTGACCTTGTGCTTGGCTTTTGCAGTACCAGTTTGAGCAAGCGCTGCCAATGGAGGAATCCCACCTTCCCTGACAAGCAAACCCCTATTCCTGACACTCTCACCACACAACTGCAACAGCGTCATCACGGCGAACTCCTTCCCTTTCGGCGACCCATCCTCGATCACCTCCACCAACGCCGCAATCCCCCCTTCCTCCACAATCGCCTCCTTTCCTTCCGCCACCGCCGCCAAGCTACTCATCACCACCATCGCCTTCTCCGCCATTTGCTCCGCCGCCACCAGCCCCACCACCGCCTGCACCGCCCCTGCCTTCACCGCCCTCTCCTTGTTCACCTTCACCGTACACAGCTTGTACAGCGTCGTCATCGCGTCCTTCTTCCCCCTATTCGATCCATTCATCAACAGCGTTATCAATGGCGGAATCGCTCCGCAAGCTCCGATCGAAATCTTGTTCTCGTCGATCAACGACAAGTTCAGCAACGCACATGCCGCGTTCTGCTTCGATGTCTCTGTACCTGTCTTCAATACGTAGATTAGGGCTTTGATTGCTCCGTAGCTCGTGATTCGAGCCTTGTTCTCTTCCAGAAGTGAGAGATTCAACAACGCCGTCACTGCGTGTTCTTGCGTCATCGGATCTGTACATCTGAGCAGAGGAATTAAAGCTGGTACGGCACCGGACTCGCCGATCAACGCTCTGTTATCGGACCGGTTCTTCGCCAGGAGTCTCAGTTTCGCCGCCGCCGATCTCTTCACTGCGGTCGACGGGGATCGGAGACCGTCGATGCAGATTTTCACCGTCGGTTGGAGATCCTCCGGTGATATACTCTCGATAATCTCCGTCGAGAAACTGTCGCGGTCGAGAAAACCGGCGCATGGCTCTGAAACGGGTTCGGGATTCGGATCCGATGAATTTTCCGGCGCCGGAATAGTCGCGAGCCTCTGTAACTCGCCGGAAATGTCGCTGCTACAGACCGAGAAGTCACTGAAGGCTTGAGAAAGGTCGAAGAAGTCGGTGTCGGAAGAAGAGGAATTGACCGACTTGTTAGTCCGACCCGCGAGCTCGCCGAGCCGCAAGTCGACGACGGAGTCGGTGAGGTTTTCGGAGACACAGGCCGAGGCCGATTTCTGGGGAGCTGCGCCGGGGAAGGAGCAGGTGTTGTGGTTGGTTTGGTAGAGGTTGGACCGGACGGTTCGCATGGACCGGCCTAGAGACCTCTGAATCTTAGTACAAGAGACTGAAGATGGACTGTAAAACGGCGGTGTTGTGGGTAAGTGACTGGGATTGGAGTGAGAATCTTGTGGAGAAACCATTGATGAAGGCACAAAGCTTGATGGGTAAGTGTTCATATATATATATCTATGTATGTGAAGTGAGTGATTTGGTTTTAAGAAATTTTCATGGTGAAAGCAATAAGAAGTGATCAAAAGAGGTTTATACTTTCTAACGTATAAGTGAGGGAGATTGGGACCAAGAAAATCTTGCAATAGTGAGGTGAGTGACTCAAATGAGTGATACAAAGAGGTTTGAAATATTAATGGTGGTGGCGTATCTGAGCTTTGAAGAAGAATTAAATAAGTGGATTTTACGGGTGTGTTTGGTTTTTTTTTTTAGAGATAAATTTTTTAAAAAAAAATCTTGAAGAGTGAGTTTGGAAATTTTTTTTTGATTTGTTTGGTTATATATTTTGAAAATAATTTGGAGTTTAGGAGTTTTGAATGATTTGATATTTTGTTATAATTGAGTAGATATATATATGAGAGAAAAAATAATTAAGAATGAGAGATGAGAGAGAAAAAAGTGATTGATTAATATGTACGAGAGAAAATTATTTTGAAAATTTTTCTCAAAAAATTTGAACTAAACAAAAAAAAATTAAAAAAAAATCAAATATTATATTTTGAGATACAAACCGAACAAGCCCAATGTTTGGTGGCATTTTTGGTTATAAGGGGTGTTTTGGAACACAATTATAAGCTGCTTTTTTACTTTTAACTTATTTTGAATCATGCCACTTCTCATATTTTTTAAAAAAAATAAAAAAATTAATTTTTAATTATCTTATCAAAATAATCCTAAGTATCTTTAAGTTGAGGCTCGACTTATTGGACATATGAGTTCGTTTGAAAATTGAGTTGTTTTTTTAATTTTTTTGATTTTTTAACTATTTTAGTTTGGAATTAAAAAGTCTCGTTTAAAATATTTTTTTTAATTTTTTATAAAAAAATATAAATATATATAATAATTATAGATTAAATATGATATTTTATTTTATTAAATTAAAAAAAATTATTTTTTATTTTTTTTATTTTTTGGTGATAAACCCAAACAAAATAGCTATTCAACATGATCACAAACCATTCAAAACGCCAAGATAGATAGTTAAGGCACCGTTTGGGAAGAAGTTGGTTGGGTTTTTTTGACTATTTTAATCACAAAAAATAAAATAGGCTATTTTAGTCATAATAAACAAAATATCACATCCAACCCATAATCATTACACTCTTCTCTCACAAAAAAAGTTAACAAAGCTAAAAAGCCAAAAAACTCTTTCCAAACCAAGCTTTTTAACTCAGACTAAAATAGCCAAAAAAATCAAAAAGTCAAAAAGTCAACCCACTTCCCAAACGGAGGCTAAAAGGCAAGTGTGGGCCTTGGTTAGGGGTTTGCTTTTGGACGCATAGTTGACCAATGGTATTGATGTTCACACGGGTCTCTGTCGGCAGGGACGCTTAGCTCTGGCCTCTAAAAGTTCATTAAAAAGATGATAGAGAAACCATTTCAAATAAGGAAAACGCAATAGTACATCTCTTTTAAAAAGTATATTTATACATTTTATAATTAAAGAGTAAAATAGTATGATTTTATATTTTTAAAATTATAATTAAAAAAATTAATAAAAAAATCATAACTAAATCTAACATGAAATATAATTAAAAAATTTATAAACTATAATTAAAATAATATTATAATAAAATAAAAAAATTGATTATAATTAATAAAAAAAATGATAAAACTAAAGACGTATATGATTCAGCCTTTTAAAGAGTGTATATATTAACTTCCCATTATCTTATTAATTGCTCACATAAATATGTGTGGTTTATAAAATACTTGGTAATTTGTAATGGCAGCGAACTTTCAAAAGTTTATGGAAAATGTTTTGGATCATTATTGTTATCTCAAACTAATCATAAGTGACGTGTTAAGTTATATCATTTAGGAACTCAATCAAAATATAAAAATTATTTATACTGTATTTGGTTAGGAGATTTAGGAAAAAATTTAGATAGAAAAATAAAAAAGATATGTAAAATATGAATAAAAATATATTTATATTTTACCTAATTTTACACATTTTTTTTCTTTATCTTTTTAAATTTTTTCTTAAATCTCTCAACCAAATACAACATTGGTGGGATTAGAACCATAGTGTTTGACTTGCCTCCAAAGATTTAAAGTGGAGGGCTTTATTTAGTCCGTGAATTTATTTATTTTCACGATTTAAATTATTTATTTTGTAAAATATTTTATGTATCTATATAAAAAAATGAAGTGAATTTGATAATCATAATTTATTTTATTTATAAAGTTTATCACCAAAGAAAATAGATTGACTATTTTAAAAATTAGACTTTGTCTATTTTAGACATAAATGTAATAAATTGAATAAGATACAATTATTTGACCTATTTGTTTTTGTGAACAATATACTAAGTGCCTTACAAAATAACGGTTCAAATTTTCATAACAAGACTTGTGATGAATCCCACAAATCCAAGATCTAGATCTTAGACTAGATGGAAGCCCAACTCAAAATTAAAGGGATTTATGACAAATAGTGGTACTAAATTTTGCTTCAAAATTATTAATATGTGATTCAAATTCATTTTACTCATGGATTTGACAATATAATCATTCAATTTTCACTATACACTTCAATTTTAGGCTCATTCATTTTATATATAAATCTCATGATACGCTCATTCAATTTTAACCCCACACTTCATGGCAGAAATTTGAGCCCAAATCTAAAATCTCGAAGTTATTGTTTATTATAACAAGGTGTAGGTTGTTCATCGACACAAAAGATTTTACAAGAGTCTAGAGTAACTATCTAGGGGTAAGTATGATTCAGATTGGTTCAGTTAGAACTAAATCAAGATCAAACTATTACTGATGGTTCTATAGAATCCATAACCAAATCTGACATGGGTAAACCTATAAAGGTTACAGCCCACCACTTAGGGCCCAATACATAATTCAAATACTAAAGCCCAGCGTTGCTGGAACTAAACATGTTATCAAGAACCAATGACATCTGAACACGTGGCAAGAGAAGGACAAGCCACATAAGCAGACAAAGATCCTGCAAAGTTATTGCACTGCACATCAGCCACTAATAAAGTCCCTTACAGCATTTATTGCGATAACCCCTCCTCATCGAGACAGAACGGCCTCACCATGAACAAGGCAAGCTAGAGTATAGACTTTCGGCTAAGATGACAGGTCGGAAAGGAGAATGAAATGATTACTAGAGGATATAAGCAGACGTCGAAGACAAGAAGAAGGTGAAGCTTTTTATCTCTAATCTATATCTACATTTCATCTCTCTTTCTAACTTGCTTGTCGGAGGGTTCGCTGGGAGACTCCCCATCCCCCGTTGAACTCTTGTGCAGGTCTTCTGGTGGGCTTGGTACCTCGGGCACTGGTTTGGAAAGCGTGGATCAGTCCGACCCGTTCCATCTGGAACACGTTGTACTATCAAAATCAAACCATGAAAATCACAGAACCAAATAAGTAAATCATAGTTTGATTCAGTTTGAAATCATATTTTTTAAAAATATTGTGATCATTGACAACATGATCACAAAATATTATTCACAATTTAAGAATTATTTAAGTAATTGTTTAGAACTAGTTCTACCACTACACAATAAAAAACTTGCAAGAATAAAAAGTTACAATATATTATTGTTTATTCCATCTAAAAAAATTACAATTTTTGTATATAAATTTGATACTAATAATATATTTGAGTGTTTACGATAAATAACAAATTATATACATATATATATATATATGTACATATCTAAACGGTCTGGTTCGGTTTCAAACCAGATTTGTAATTATAAAATCTCAAACCAAGCCATGGTTCATCTATTTTAAGAATTAAAACTGATTCATGCATTGAGAAAATCAAATATGTGGGGATGTATTTTTAGGGTCATGCCACGTGGCCAAGGTGCCATGTAGACAAACCAGATTGCCAAGATGATTGCGGCGTTGCTGAGATATGGTGTGGTAATACTGGAATCCAAGCTAGTTGGATAGGGACAAGAGTCCTAGATAAGTGATGCACTTAGTTCGGATAAGGATGAGACTTTTAAGGAGTTCATCCATAGCTAATTAAAAGTCTGAGATAAGCCTTATGCTTGAGTCCAATGAAATAAGATTTCTAGGGGACGAGAGCATTGTTGGCTATAAAAGTGAGGCACTCCCGTGGGTCTAAGGTATGCTTTTACTTGTGCATTAAGTACTTGTTTGATATCTTTAAGAGACAAGATTGACTGACTTGATCGTCAGAGTGCCCATGGTTGGACGTGCCACAGTTGTATTCTTGTTTTCTTATTAGCAGGTGTTTGGTTTAATCAATTATGTCACGTGCTCCCCAGCTAAGTTTCCTGTTTGGTTATAAGATCGGAAATCAACACCCACAATTTTGGCGCTCTGTGAGAACTTAGTAAGGATAGATGGCTAATGCTGAACAAGAGATAAGAATCGAGGACGACATGCATAGTGAGAAAGAATAGTACATAAATCCCAATACCGGAATAGGAAATGATGATGAAGAGGTATAGAAAGTGAACCCCGACGCCAACAATGTTGCAAGGGGGCGTAATGGCCCGAGAAAAGGAAACCGAGAAAAATACTACAATGAAAGTGAGTGCCAAGTATGGAAAGAAAGATGCCTGAAGAGAGACGACAAACTAAAGGACTTAGCAAACAAACTGATGGATCTACAAACTGTGGTGAACTTTATGATGCAAAGCAATGTGATGCTGTCGACACTGCCTTTGCTGGAGATGCCGAATCCGACAAAAAATGCCAATGCCCAAAATGAGTAACTGATTACAGTGTCGACAACCCCTCAACACGAGAAAAGATCAGGGAACTCACATCGACGATCCCAAAACGCTGGACAAGTAAAATCCCAGTAGGAGGAGTCCCAAAGAACGCTGAGAACCAAGAGAACCTAGATCAAGAGATCTCGATAGGTCAATGGAAAGGGCCTCTGTTTCGATGACGTGACAGATGTAGAGAAGTCCAAAAGGACACATCCCAACACAGGAAGTAGCTTGCCAAAGAGGTTGAAGTTGATCGATAGCCGAGCTCTTGGTTAGTCGAAGGAAGACCTACGAGATTACCTACAGAGGAAGAGGCAAAATGCTGAGATCACATCTAAAGCCCAGTTGAAGGCACCATTCTCAGTAGAGTTGGATGTGCTCGAAGCTAAGAAAAGATTCAGCACACTGAGGTTCTTGATC